CATCTACAATCACTATGGGACCTATTTTGAAAAAGAATGAATAAATATATGAGACAAAGTAGATTAGGATTTTATATTTATGAATAAATTAAATTTCTAACTAGTTCTAATATTTAGTACCATAGGTAGTACTTATTAATAGATAAGGCTCAATGTATAGAATGGATATTTAAAATGAAGCAAATAAGATCATAGAAGACAATTTAAATATATGGATTTAGAATTAGATCATGAAAAACAATCTAATTATACGGAGGTTAAACAATACTCCATCAATTCTTATATATAAGCAGGGGTGAAAATAAATCAGGCGGCTTGTCAAGAGCCTATGGCTGACCAATGTTTAGCTTGACCTATTTAAAATAGAGATACAAGTAAATCTAGGACTTTTTAAAGACATGTTTCTCTTAAAAAGTTAGGCCTAAACTCTCGGAAAACCCTATTAAACTTGTTAGGCCGTTATAATTTTAGTTAGCAGTTTTAGGGAAACCTTTTTAGTTTCTCTAAATTATATCATTCTCCTCATCTTGTTGATTTGTAAAAGGTATTTTCAATCACAATTCTTGCATAAATGAGGACTATCTAAATGTACGGCTACAATAACATTCCGCATCAGAAAAGAAATTAAAATATATAAATTATAAGTTACGAATTTTCTTAAACACGTTGTTATACTTACATTTTAGTGAACCCATTGTTAGTCTTTTATCAAAATGTTGACATAATATAAAAGTTTTAACGAGACTCATTATTTAAGAATAGCAGTGAATAATATAGTTTATTTTCCAGATTTTGGACCCCTTTTGTTTGACATAGGTTTTTTAAACACAAACTCGTAGAATTTATGAAATACAATTTTAAATTTCAATGAATATTTTAGTTTCAAGGTCAATTCAGAAAAATTACAAAGAAACGAATAGGAAAATAACAAAAATGAAATATTCTATTAGACCCAATAATATTTGGATTTGATTTGTCGATAATATGAAATGTCATATGTAACATCTCAAATTTTGGGTCTAGAACTATCAGAACTAGCCTGAAATGGAAAAGCTACTAGACTCCTTATGACAAGTCTCAGAAGTTCCTTGAAGAGATAGAGATTCCTAGAGATTAAATCATGAAGTGAAAATTTTCTAAGACTGAGAAAAGAAGAAGACATAGACCCTAATGAAGTCTCAAGGGCTTAAGTAAGAGAATTGAAGGTGATTAAGGGCCAAAAGTTGTGTTGGAAACCTCAATGAGATTATTTCTGAGACTAGACCCAAGTAGGAATCTAATTGTAAATTTGAAAAGTTTTGGGCCAACAAGGGTAGTGATGGAAAATGGGTTCGAACGTTCTAGAAAATTCCACAAAAATGAGAAATAAGCTCTTGAGGCCCATATAGGGTTAAAAATGACAAAAATACTTCTAAAGCAAATTGATGAGATTCTGGGGTTTTGGCTAATTATGAATATTAGCTGATATTGAATTATTTAAAATATGAGGAGGCCTTAGATAATTGGACAAAAATGAGAAATAGTACGTGAGGAATTATCATAAGTTTTAAAAATGATTTTGTCCCCAAAAAGTGAAGAGATTGGCTTTACTAGAATTTAAAGCCTATTTATATACTATCAGGGAAAGTCGAAGTAAACTGTCTAGAGGTTGACTTTTGACTTAAGAAAAATTAGAGAAATTTCCCATGACAATAAACAGTATTGGTATCTAGAAATAGATTCTCGAGGTTGTGAACCGATAGAAAGAATCTGGTCAATTTTACTCCAAAATAAATAATATTAATTATTTTAATAAAAGAACAAGAGAAGAGCATCACTTCCTCTTTAGGCATATATAATGCCATGTGAGTTAATTGTGATGGAAAAAAGATACCAGAACATGTCCCAGTGTTACCAGATAAGTCAAGATCGGAAAAAGTACCCGATACAATGTAAAATCATAAAATCAGGAGGAATAGTCAAGGTTATGTGCGAGCACAAATTTCTCCTTATTTTGCTCCCTATTTTAAGGCAAATTTGACGAAGGGACATGAATGAAATAATACATTTTGTTAAGGGTTAAGTTTGGAAGAATGAAATTAAGTAATAAAATATCATGTTTTTTCACATGTGTGATAGGTGGCATGTGATGTGTCCCATGAGGTGGCACTTATATTGAACGAAGGAGACATCTAAGAGGCTTAGGTGGCAAGAATCAAGAAGACAAGAGACACATGGCAAAGAGATTAAATGAATGGCCAAGATCAAGCCATACACACATACAAGATCAAGAGGTAGGATTTAAGTAAATTTTTATAAATATCCTTTCCCCTCCAACATGGCCAAAATTTCAGCGAACACAAGAGAAAAAGAGGAGGGGTTGAAAATATGAAAAGGAGGAGAAGAAGAGAAAGAGTAAGAGAAACCATGCAAGATCAAGCTCCAAAACAAAATATGTTCATGGTTTCTGATGTAATTTCTATTACCTTTGTTGTTGTTGAGCTTGGTTATGGTTTTGATGGTTTTTGGAAGCTTAAAGCCCTAGGGTATGATGCTGCATGGAATTGTTAAGTTAAGGGGAAGATGAAATTAATATTAGTATAAGGTTTGAAGGCTTGAAAGGAACAAGAATTAAGTGGTTTTATATTGGAATTGGTTGAATTTTTTGATTGTGTTATTTAAGGGGACTATTCGGTAAAGCTGGGGTTGATGCCTTAGGGCTAGATCTTGATTATTTTGATACATCCAATGAGTTTAGAATGAAAAATTGTGTAGAGTAACAGTCAGAAAACAAGTTTGGAAGCATTAAACTTGAAAAAAAAAATTTTGGACCCCAAAGGTATAACTTTCAACCAACTCAAGAAATAGGGAAAGGAGTTAGATTTTGTTAAGTTCAAGCTCATATTTAGATTCCTCATGAAAAATTGAGTGGGAAATGGCCAAGAGAATGAATTTAGGAATCAAGATTAAGAAAGTGAAAAGTTAGGGTTAAAGATGAATCAAGTTTGAAAGTAAGAGTTATTAGGTATTACTATGGTCCTAATGAGTTGGCTATTGATGTGTTAATGTGATTAAGGCCATGTGACACCAAGAAAGAGAAATGGCAAGATTGTCTAGGCAATCTTGGTAGTTGGGAAGAAAAGAGAGCAAAGACAAAGTTTAATGAAACAAGGCAGCAAACTTTATCCTACTCTTATGTGCTTGGTATTTGCCAGCATGTATGGCATGTTTCTATGTTTATGTGATTTTATGAACTCATGCATTATGATTGTTAATGTGTTTAAAGTATACCATAAGCCTATATGTCTTATGATAAACGTATGATGATTTCCAAACATGTCATTGTGTCATAGTGTTAAGTTGCAAGCATGTTATGAATACCAAGCTTATCATGTATGTTTAGGTGGTTCTTGTTTACTACTGAGATTCTCCTGAACCTCACCCTCCTTTAACCAACCATAATAGGTATAATATGCAAAGGAGAATGAATGCTTGAAGTGGAAGCTAGGAAAAGAGGAAAACAACTTAAGAAATGTATTGTATTACATTATGTAAATTGTATACCAATGTATGTTATGAACATACCTGTTAATGTTATATGATGTTAAATAATGGTAATGGCATGTATAACTGGCTATGATGATGTATGAAAATGGTTAGTGTATGGATGGAATTGTAATGTATTTGAAAAGATTAATTATGAATTATTAATGCAAGTAAGGGGATAGTTTGTCCCTAAATAAGACACGAACATTTGTATTATATATTTTTTAACTGGATTTTTCATACGATAACAAAGAAATCACTTCCCCCTTAAACCCTATAAACTCTAAAAAGATCTATAGTGACTAAATTATGAGTCCATAAGTCATTTAACGAGAGGTTCATTGAAGTATTTGAGCTCATTCTCTAGTCTAGAGTTTGAAAGCGTAATATAAAAGTTTTAACGAGACTCATTATTTAGGAATAGCAGTGAATAATATAGTTTGTTTTCTAGATTTTGGACTCACTTTGGTTGATTTAGGTTTTTCAAAGACTAACTAGATCAAAGAATTTATGAAATACAATTTTAAATTTCAATGAATGTTTTAGGTTCAAGGTTAATTCAGAAAAAATCACAAAGAACGAATCGGAAAATAACAACAATAAAATATTTTTTTAGACCCAATAATATTTGGATTTGATTTGTTGATAATATGAAATATCATACAGTTATAAAAATATTTTTACCACCAATTTTTTTTTATTTTCCAAAGATGAGGGTGTGAATTTATCACCTCCGCACTTTCATCTTAAAAATATATTTTTGGGCTGTTTGAAGTTTTAAAAATACTGGCATTTTTAACAAGTTTTATGCTAGGTTTAGGTTGAAAAAAAAAAGCCTATGATAACTCAAGTTGACTTGTTACAAGACAGACCTAACCTATTACTATGAGTAAAGTCTTGCATGTCCTATTTTCACCCCTATATATATAAGCCACAAGTAATTGCACATTATAAAAGGTTGGTTGAAATTGGTGAAAGGTAATAAATATGTAATAAATATATTTTTTCCAAATATACCCTTGTTTACATAGAGAGTGAGTGAGAGAGAGAGAAGGAATGGGGAAAATATACGAAAGAGACATATAATTTACTGGGAAAGAAATTGGATTGCACAAATAAGTGGCAACATTATTTTAATTATCATAGAATACTAAATAACGTAAGGACGAGCAATTCGATGGGACAGCTAATAGAAATTCAGAGGAAAAAAATGGTTTTGTCCCATAGATATCTTATTATGAAAATCAATTCGAGAGCCACAGTGATATGATAAAAATTTAGTCTACATTATTTTATGGTATGAAGTTTTTTATCACAAGCACAGTTTAGCATTGAGAAGCGTGCGTTTATATCTCTTTTTAATTGGGATTTTTCATACAGTAACAAAGAAATCACTTCCCCCTTAAACCCTAAGAACTCTAAAAATTTAATTTATATATATATAATGACAAATTAACAAGAATACGTGTACGTAATTCATTTAACAAGAGGTTCATTGAAGTGTTTGAGCTCGTTGTCTAGTCTGGAGTTTGAAAACGAAGATCTGTCGTCAAGCCATGAGATGATATCTGAGAAGACAAGGTTGAGATTCCCAGGAGGCTCACGCCGCTCACCATACAAGAGTCCATGCCAAATTTCAGGGTATAACTTGAGGGTCTTGTCTGTGCTTGACGCGACTTCGTACAATTCACTACTCACTAATGGGTCTGTTACTTTGTCATCTTCTCCATGCAGTACCAAAAACGGCAAGGATACCTGTAACCAAACACATAAACTTGTCATCCTTTTTCTTCTGTAAAATTTCAATTCTTATTTTTAATCACTACTAGAAAATAGCAAGTTAGCAGCGGAATATTTCTAGCGGTTCAAACAAAACCGCTACAAATTTACGTATTTTTAGCCGTTTTTATGAAAAACTGCTAGAAATTAGCATCACTTTGGCCATAAAGATTATGGGCCCGCAATTTTCTAGTGGCTATATGCTAACCGCTAGAAAATCACAGCTAGAACTCTTCTCGGGTTTTGGTGCAAACTTGGTGCCAAAATTCTAGCGTTTATGGGTGCCAAAATTCTAGCGTTTATTTTCTAGCGGTTTGGGTGACCAAACCGCTAGAGAATGCAAAGAGTCGTCCAATTTTCTAGCGGTTCGGTAAACCGTTAGTAAATCATACATTTTTCTAGCGGTTTTCGAAAATATTTAATTTTCCCGAGGTGGTTTTAATAACCGTTAGCAGTTTCTAGCGGTTGTCGCCAAAACCGCAAGAAATTTCTAGCGGTTTACTTAGAAACCGATAGAAAATTTGTATATTTCCTGAGGTGCCCTAAATGCGACAGCTAACCATTAGACATTTCTAGCGGTTTTAGTGACAACCGCTAGAAATTTCTAGCGGTTTAGGTAAAACCGTTAGAAATTTGCTACCTATATATACCCCCACGGTCATTTTCACTGTTTCATTCATTCGTGAAGCGAAGCTCTGCCGAATTCTCTCCACGAAACATATCCGAGCTCGGATTCTGTTGCAGATCCCTATTTTCAGGTAGAAATAGTAATTTATTTATAAATAATTTCTATTCTTATTTTTTAATTTAATTTATTATATTTCTGTGTATAAATAATTTCTCTTTTTATTTTATTTATAAATAATTACTATTTGTTGTTATTAGGATGAGTCGTTGGCCAGGGAAGGAGCCAGTTGATCCTGAGAGGGCAGGACCCAGTGAGGATCGTCGTGATAGTGGTCATGATGGTGGTGAGCCATTCCCCAGCATTCATGACTACGATCTCAACGAGGAGGATCTCCTCAGCTTTATGGAGCAGGACGATATCGAACGGACTGAGGAGGCTCATTTTATTGGGGATGAACAACCTTATGCTGATGCTGATGCTGATGGAGGAGGAGGAGGAGCAGGTTCAGGGGAATGAGAATCCCCATGTTGAGCAGCGTCCTGCTCCTAGACATCAGGCCGGTTTTGAGGTGGAATTTGAGGGTAAGTATTTATTTAACTTTTTTAAATTTGACAACCATTTAATTTATTTTTTTTCAAATTATTTAATTGTTTGATTGTAATTTTTTATTTATTTAATTTATTTGTTATTTATAATATTTTTAAAGTAGTTAAATGAATATATATTTTTTTATTTAAACTACTTTATTGTTTGAAAATAATTTGTTATTGATTTCATTAATTTATTACTTATAATAGTTTTAAATTAGTTGAGTAAAAATATTTTTTCATTTAAATTACTTAATTGTTTAATTATGATTTGTTATTGATATAATTTATATTTTATTTATAATATTTTTAAATTAGTTAAATAAATATATGTTTTTATTGAAATTGTTTAATTGTTTGTTTATAATTTGTTATTTACTTAATTTATTGTTTTAATCACAAAGTAAATTTATACTAGGGGAGGAGTTGATGACCGACACGATCAAGAGGCTTGGGGTGGCATGGAAGAATAAGAGGGTCGACCTGTGGAGGGAGAAGAAAGGTGACGGGACGAGGCCCCTGCAGGAGATACTGGCAGATGTACCTGGTGGAGTCCCGGAGCAAAACTGGTCCAGTTACGTCTATTTTAGGATGTCAGCTGACCAGATGGTATGATAATATTGTATTAATTATAATTTCTTTATTTTTTTGGTCCAATTTGACTAATTTAATTTAATTTTTTTACATTTTGCTTCATGATCTTTCAGTTGTTTGGTTGCTACATGGGGAACGGCCAGATATGGTTGCTGAGTCAGTTCCAGTAGTTTCACGGATGGGAGTTCGAGTGGATGAAGCCGATGCCATGAACGATGCTGTGCGTGATGCTTTTGGCATTCACGAAAGCCTGAATCCCAACAAAGATGAAGTAGAGGGGCCTCAACCGGAGTTTCTTAGAAACGAAATTGCTCGGGAATTTTTTAACCTCATGAGCAAAGCTGACAAGCCTCTTTATTCTGGGTGCACAAAGTATTCAAAGTTGTCATTCTTGGTGAGGCTGTATCATATTAAATGCTTGTGTGGTATGACTGACAAGGTGATGTCCATGTTGTTGGAATTACTGGGGGATGCTTTCCTCCAAGCTGAATTCCCTCCATCTTTTCATGAAGCAAAGAAGATTATTAACAAGCTTGGCTTGAACTACAAGAAGATAGATGCATGTCCAAACGACTGTATGTTATACTGGGAAGATGATGCAAACAAGGAGATTTGTATGAGATGCAAGACGTCACGCTATAAGTCGGTATGGAAGGGGAAAAAGCAAAAGAAGAAACCAGCCAAAATTCTCAGGTATAATTTATTACAATGTGCTACTTGTTCCGTCTCTAAATATTCGATATTTGAAATTCTCAATACAATTGATTATGATGTGTTACTTGTTCAGTCTTTAAATATTCGGTATTTGAAATTTTTAATACATTATTTTCTTTGAAATTTTCAAGTGCTCCTGGGTTTATACGACAACTTCACGGGGACTCGCTACTGACCACTTGGGCATCACCTCAGTTAATTTCTCTAGACTTATTCATACGGGTGTATCTGAAGATAATGAGCCATATATCCTTGCTTCCAAGGCACACCAAGTTTACTATGTCGAGGACGAGAAATATAAAAATTGGAATATGGTCATTCACCTCAAGCCACGAGATCTTTATGACATGGGTGATGGTGACATTATTTAGGACAGTGAACCCTTCCAACCCCCGAATTTTGAAGACTTCTTTCCTCAAGGAGATGATAATTTGCCAATTATCAGGTATACGTCTTTTCTTAAATTATTTAAATAATTAACTACTAATTACTAATTTCTTCTAAATACATTATAATTCTAACATAATTTTTTTAAACATGTCCTTTCAGGCCGGATGATGATGAAGAATAGCAGCATCAAAAATTTTTATTATTAAAAAAAATTTTCCTTCCATAAATACATCTGTATAAATTAAAATTGGTTTAGTTTTTTAAAAAATAAAAAATTATAATTTGTAGCGGTTACATAACCGCTACAAATTTATTATTAAAAAAATTTTCCTCCCATAAATACATATGTATAAATTAAAATTGGTTTAGATTTTTAAAAAATAAAAAATTATAATTTGTAGCGATTAGGTAACCACTACAAATTTCAAACCGCTACAAATACTAGCGGTTACTTATACGATAGAAAATGGACAAATAGCCACAAAATGCACCAAAACGCTACAAAAAAAACCGCTACAAATATGTCGCTGATCTCTATAAATATCATATCACTTCTACATTCATTTACCCCATCTTTTTCTTTCCTCTCCTATTCTTCCTCATAATTCTCTCTTTTTTTCTTACTCTCTCACATGGTGGTTTCTTTCTCTTCACTATATGGTAAGTGGATTTTATTTTATAAGTCCTTATATCTTTTATTTGTCTTTACTTATAATTTACTAACATATTTATTTTTCTTTTTCCTTCTGATTTTTCTTCTTCACACTTGTCATGCCCTCTTCAACTGATTCAAATACTTCTCAGCATAACAGTTTAGGTTCAATATTACAAACTATCTCATCTTCAATTCAACTATCTTATTAAATCTTCAATTTAATTATTTTATTAAATTAAATTCACTTCTTTTGACACACTCACAATTTAATTACATTGTTTATTACAAAATTCAAATATATAAAAAGTAATACATAACTAATTATAAAAATTAACAAAAATTCTCCAATATAATCTATTTAATGGTTTTTAACTTTATAATATTATATTTTCTAATAATAAAAAACTACAAATTTTTTTTTGTGCCTGGAAAAACATTTCTAGTGGTTCAAAACCGTTAGAAATAAAAAAAATAGAGGTACAAATTTCGTGAAATTTAAATTTTACGTCAAATTTCTAGCGGTTCAAACCGCTAGAAATGTTTTGGCACCAATTCAAAAATTTAATTTCCCGACAAAATTTGATTTGGTTCATAACTTTCTAACGGCTATATAACCGGTACAAATTTTTTTGCTTTTTCCAGCGGTTTTTATCCGCTAGAAATTTCGTCTCCTACTACTAGATTTTTCTAGCGGTTAATTAACCGCTAGAAAGTTTCTGGCGTTTTGACCATACTGTGTAGCAGTTGCCATAACCGCTAGAAATTTTTTCTTACACTTAATTTTCTAACGGTTTTTGTAACCGCTAGAAATGTCTTATTTGAACTGCTACAAAATACATATTTTTTTTGTAGTGAATATATAAGCTAGATAACTAATTTACAAACATGAAAGAAATTAGTTATATTAATTATTTGTAATAAATGTGTATTAGATTTTCTGAAATATCTTTGTTAGCGGAACTAGCCAAAAATTATAAATTTGGAAGACAAAGTAGATTAATGTCTTATATTTAGGATCAAAATAACTCTTTATCTAACTCTTATATTAATAAGCGGATGTAATATATAAGTCACCTTACACTTGATCTTTTTAAGTTGCATTATCTTGAGTTCCAAACAAGATAAGTTTTCATTTTCAACTTGGAAGTTTAGATAGATAAAGTTAATGTAGCATGCATGAGATCAAGGGACTTGATTTTCTTTGAACAAGATTCAAGGTTCAATTCTCATAGGTGAACAAAATCACGTTGTGACAGCTATTTCCCAAATAATTATATGTTTGAGCTGTGAGAGTACTTATTCTAATCACCAATATAACAGTTAGGGGATTGGGTTCAGTCTTCAATATAAAACCTCTCATATTTATATTTTTCTCCAAATTAACTCAACTAATAAATTGATATCTCCAACAACAAAAAATTATAAACTGATATGTAACATAATTTAGGGATATTTTAGGAAAATTATATCACATTTGTTATAACTAACTGATTTATTTGACTTTCTTAATCTAGCCACATTAGTAATTCTTAAAGTTATAAAATGACAAATGCCCATAAGTGAATAAAATTACCTCATGAAGCGTGCTCTCAATTTCGGAATTGACCCTTAGAAGTTCGTAGCCAGTCTTCAAGCGTGGTCTCCCTTTGTAGCAATATGGGTTTGCTCTCACCTACAATTAATTAACATGCATGTAATCACCTAATTAACTGATGCAATTGTCCTGATTAGTGAAACAATTGAAAATAAAATAAAATAATGAGTTTGTGAATAATTAAATTTAATTAAGCATATTTACCTGATGTCTGACTTGAGGGACTTTAAAAGCAACATCAATTATGTCTTGTGTTGGGATTATTTTCCAAGTTGGAATAACTTTGCTTAGTAATGTCAATACTTTGATTGCTGCTATATTTGGTTTCATTTCCTCTGCAATCTGCAAGTAACTAATCTCATAGTTACTTCATTATTTCTCCAATCAAATAATATGGTTCATAATTCAAAATACTAGAGTTATCACTATAAATATTAAAATTCACAGCAAACTGTTAACTGTACCATATGTCAGTTCTAAGCCCTATGGGCTCATGGCTTCTTTATTTTTCATCATGCCTTGTATAATTATAAATAAAAAAAATGTTTTCATTAACATATTATCATGAGTTAATAAAAACGATAAACCAACTAACTAAAGGGAGAATATTCGTTATTCAATTATAAACTAAGTGAATAAGTAATTAAAAAATGAATATGACTTATTTTGTTTAGAAAAATTTTAATACTAGTATAATATTTACATCTAACTGTGCAACTTCTAAGTTCCATAAAAGAATATTAAGATTGATAGATGTTACTAAAATGAAAAAGAAAGTTCCTAGTTTAGGTTATTAACCTATTATAAATATTGGAACTCTATGTGCTTTAGTTTAATTATTATAATAGTAATATATAATGACAACCTTTGCGTGAAGGCAAATAACAAATTTAGACATTACTATATTTTTAATAATTCCATGATGATCAGTCAACCTAAAGTTTTAGATGATGTAAAATTAGTGATAACATTAAGAATAGGTAAAATTAATATAATTTATTCAAATGAATCCTTTAATAATTTTTTAACGAATTCAATTGAAAAATAACATATAAAAATATATCTATCAATTTTTAATTTGATGCTTAGATTTGCAAGAGATCAGTTCTTCAATTAGTTAATATCACATGTTAAATACTTGGTTGTTGTAATTAAGTATAGAATGATGATACACAAGCAGCAGATTTAATTAATCTAGAGATGAAATCAACCAGACGTTGTTTAAAGGGCTAATATGTATTTAGCACCTTGAAGTATTTTCTCAATTGTACCTAGTAGCCTAAAGTATTTTATGATACATCCAATATTTGTTTTTAAGTGTGTCTAGTACCTTGAAGTATTTTTTTTAGTGCATTCAATACTCTAAGGTATTTTTTTTTTTAAGGTGCATTTAGCTCACTAAAATATTTTTTTAGTACATTTAACACCAAGGCAAAAAAATACTTTAAAGTGTTGAATACACTTGAAAAATACTTTAAGATGCTGGATACACTATAAAATATTTTAAGGTGCTAAATGAACTAGAAAAAATATTTTAAAATGCTAGATGCACCTTAACCCTTCCTTAAAAGAAGATGTTACATGTTATCACAATTGAATTAACAGTAGGTATTAAATTATGTGTATCATAAACAAATGTTTTTTATATAAGTCTTTGAAATATTCTTTTTTTTTAAACAAAATAAAATCAAATTCCTGTGGCTACTAAATGTCAAAATCAAATAGGATACTCCTAAACTAGGAAATACAACCAAAGCTTTTAGATTTATGCATATAATTCAGTCATTGATTATTGTATTATATTTCATGGATAAGTAACTCCTTTAGGGGGTGTTTGGATGAAACCAAACTATAGTTTGGAGAATAGCTTCTAGAGAATAGATTTTGGAGAGAATAGATTTTGTAAAAAAGTGATTTGAGAAGTAAGAGTGTTTGAATAGTTGTTACCAAAAGCACTATTTACATGTGCAAATTACTAAAAAGGGCATAAGTTAATATGATAATTATATAAGGGATAGATTTTATAATATATTTTAATTTGAAGGAATAAAATTGTTAATAAAATAATTTTTACTAACATAATTAATATAATATATAAGATAATATAATTAATAAATAATTAATATGTGTATATATATTTATAAATTATAAGATTAAATATGTTTATAGAAAAATGATTATTTTTTTCTAACAGAAAAATATTAATTTGCTTTAAGGATTTTAAACATGAAATTCTATAACATTTTTTCATAACTGGTTTTATAACATACTACCTCTCATCTTTAATATAAAATATAAGATTGAAAATATTTTTGAAAAAGATGAATAATTTTTTGTAAATAGAAAAGAAGTGAATAAAAAAATGAAAAAAACAATACCGAAGTGTACTACCTCTTTTCTAGTAAAAAAAAAAAAAACAATATACTACCTCTGAACAGTGAAGGACCAAAGGAGTATATGTGTCTAGTCAAAATGCTTCTCCCCAGAACCAGCTGATACTCTTCCATTTTTTTTTCCAGAAGCAGATTCAAAATGCTTCTCACAAAACCATGGTTTTTGGACCAAAACCATGGTTACTGATTTTTATGGGTGTTTGGCTAATTTTTTTTATGATACTTAAACTTGAAAATGCTAAAATGATTACTTGAATTTGCAAAATCCTAATTTAGTGATAAGTGACCAATTTGACATTTGTAAATTTACTGAAATGACCATATTGCCCTTTAATTTATTTATTGTTTTTCAAAAACCCAAATGCCCCACTGGCTAGTTGGCTGCCAGAGCTCCGGTGTTGACAACGGCTGCCAAAGCTCAGGTGGTTGCTGTCATCGAAGCTCCGGTGATTGTCGGCCAAAAACAATTTTTTTGAAAATTTTTACAATTTCAGTAAAACCGTTAACAAGTTTTGTAATGCTATTAACAAATTCAGTATAACAATTAACAACAGGTTTTTCAGAAAATTCAAAAAGTAACATTTTTACAACTTCAGTAATGCTGTTAACAAGTTCTATAATTCTATTGACAACCACGGTATAACATTTAACAATAGGTTTTCTAAAAAATTCAAAAAAATAGCATTTTTATAACTTTAGTAACTACTTTTTTTGAAAATTTTTACAATTTTAGTAAAATGGCACATTTTGTAATGCTATTAACAAGTTCAGTATAGCAGTTAATAATAGATTTTTCAGAAAATTCAAAAAGTAGCATTTTTACAACTTCATTAATGCCGTTAACAAGTTTCATAATTTATTAACAACTATGATATAGCATTTAATAACAGGTTTTCTAAAAAGTTTTAAAAAATGGCATTTTTTCAACCTTAGTAACTACTTTTTTTGAAAATATTTACAACTTCAGTAAAACGGTTAATAAATTTTGTAATGCTTTTAATAAGTTCAGTATAGCAGTTAGTAATAGGTTTTCAAAAAATTCAAAAAGTAGCATTTTTACTACTTCAGTAATACCGTTAACAAGTTTCATAACTCTGTTAACAAGTTTGGTATAGCATATAACAATAGGTTTTCTGAAAAATTCAAAAAGCGGCATTTTTATAATTTTAGTAATACAGTTAACAAGTCATATAACGATATTAACAACTCTCATGACCCTAATGGCTGCCTAATAAGTGAAAAATTTTTGTTATACAATTTTCATAGAGGGCTAGTATCAAAAACATCAACCTTTTATGAGAGTTGTTAATATTGTTACATGACTTGTTAACCATGTTACTGAAGTTGTAAAAGTGTCACATTTTGAATTTTACAGAAAACCTATTATTAAATACTATACTAAACTTGTTAATAGAATTACGAAACTTGTTAACGGCATTACTGAAGTTGTAAAAATACTACTTTTTGAATTTTCTAGAAAACCTGTCATTAATTGCTATATTGAATTATTAATAGTGTTACAAAACTTGTTAACTGTTTTACTAAAGTTGTAAAAATTTTCAAAAATATTATTCCGGCTGCTAGAGCTTTGGCAACCGATTGGCGGCAGCCACCGAAGATCCGGTGACGGCAACCACCTAAGCTCTGGTGGCCAGTGTTGGCCAGCCAGTGGGGGGCATTTAGTTTTTTTAAAAAAATAAATAAATTAAAACACAATATGGTCATTTTAGCAAATTTACAAATGTCAAATTGGTCACCTATGACTAAATTGGGATTTTACAAATTAAAGTGACTATTTTGGGATTTCCAAGTTTAAGTATCATTTTTGTGTCATTTTTCCTAAATGTTTCTTATGTACATGTGATAATCTCTTACACCCTAATTTTTCGAGGATTTTTAATTTTTTTTTTTTTACCTATATTCCAATCAAGATCAACCAAGTATGACTGACACCTAGGCCGAACAGAAAAGAAAAAAAGAAGAGTGCAAAAGAATAAAGATCACAAGATCTTTATTTTGTATTATTTTTGTTGTACATTAATATTATAATAATATTTCACATATAGAAAAATGGATAGGAAAACATGATATTTTATGGAGAAAATAAAACCATCAATCATTATCAGGAATTCTTATCTCGACGTATTTATCCCCAGTTGCAAAAAAATTATTTGTGCCCAACAATATCCAAATAATATGATGATATGAGATACCATATATATAATTATAGTGTTAATTAAAGAAATCATCCAAAAAAAAAAAAGAAAAGTAGAATCCAACCTTACACATAGGTGCAACCAAAATAGCTCCATCCCAATAGTGAGGTTTCTTTCTGTGAAGCAAAAGAGCCACAGCTCTTCCTTCTCTGTGATTTTTTTAACACAAATTAATATCATCATGATCACCAACTCAGTCTAATGTTTCAATAGATTTCTTTGCTTAATTTTATTGAAAAAATTTATTCAATCTTTTGCATGTCATATATGATGTAGATATTGAATAATATTTTTATTAACTTGGGCGTCAAATTAAATTTGAATGGGTCGCAAATAAATAAATAACAATTCAGCGGTGATGAAACAATCAGACGGCGGCGATCGGTTTTTAAATCTTTTGATTTTGATCGTTTGAAAGGAAAATCAAAACCAGAAAATAATTTTCTTTTAAAAAAAGTCAAATATTGGGATGCTTCCAAAAGATCATTGCTAAGCCGGGTTTCTGGTCCAAATTTCATATGATTAATTTAAGTGGTTCGAATCTTATTCCATCCAAAATTAATTATAGCCGTCCATTCCATTTTGATCACCCCACTACCCTAGACTTTGTGCATAGGTTGGAAATATATATCTTAATATGGGAGAGATCCAACTTAGTTTAAACTTTAAATACCCAACTCCATTAGATGTGAAACTAGTAAGCTTCTTCCTTCTTTTGTAATCAAAAAACACAGAATAATTACTTTCTCTTACCCCAAATCTATGCTCTAATCAAGAGGTTTATTTTGATTTTAAATATAAAACTCTAATTCATTTGTCTTTTAAATTTATAATTCTTTTTTAAATTATCCCTGTGAATTGCACATATTAGAAAAGGATTTTTCATATGAGGTGGTTTTCATTGAAAAAAATTAAAAAAATATCTTGAAGAAATCAATGTAGTTTTTAAAAAAAATAATTAACACAATTAATTTCTTTAATCTACGTAAATTAGTTATTTAAAATCAGAGGGGAGGAAGTACTATATGAATAGAGAGGATAACAGAAACGGAGGAGTAATACTGGGAGCAGTCATCAACGAGTGAATCAAAGTCAGTGACCAAAGCTGGAAGTCCATCTGATTTCCCATGTCCTTCATAATCAATTACATAAACTTCATAACCTGCCTTTGCCAGCCTCCTCGCTGTGCCTGCACTTTCATTCCTTTTTAATTAATTAATTATATAAGCTTCACACACACATATATATATCATCATCATCATAATCATCCATCATCATATGAGAATTCTGTAAACACGTACTGCTCATGGTGATGCTGCATTCCATGGCGTAGCCATGGCATATAAATACTAGGGCTTTTGCTGCTTTCTCCTTTGGAACCCATCTCGTTGTTACCAGTTTCATTCCTCTCGAGTTCAATACAAAGTCCTAATAAGAATCCACCATACAACCAATTAATACGTACGGCTCAAGATCGAAAACATGTATATAATATAAATTAAAATTTGTATAAATTTTAGTAATTAAGCCAAGAATGCACAACACATGTATAATAATAGTGGTGGAGGTAGTAGTAGTAATATAAGATGCGTAAAACAAACCTCTTCATATCCGATCTCTGTAGTTTTGTTGTTTTCCTGCAAATCAACCCAGAAAGCAAAGTTACAAATAGAAGAATCAGAAAGAAAGATATTCACAAATAGAGGGGGGGGGGGGACACCATGATGAGTTATTCAAAGACGGATCACTATGAATGGGATTTAGGCAACGGTAGATACATACATATACATATATACTCCTCCGGTTCTAATTATAAGACCCAATTGACTTATTTAAGGAGATTAAGGAAGTAAGTTAAGTTGGTTATTTATAATAAATAAGTGTTGTCATTCCTAAAATATCCTTGCTAATTAAGTATATTGGCTAAAACTATCATTATTAGAAGGATTATCTTGGAAAAAAATGCATAAATATAAGAGACAAAATGGATTGGGGTCTTATAATTAGAACCAAATAAAAAGTCAAATGGGGTCTTATAATAAGGACCGGAGGAGTATATACTTACACATGCGCGCGCGCAGCCAAAAACTTAATTGTTTAAATGGCTTATTTAATCTCTGAGGTGTGGGATATGATAGGATTTAAGTTGGACACAGATAAGTAATATTATTAATTAGGTAAATTATAATTAGTTAATTATTACGTTGCAATTCCCTATTCCTTCTTATGTTCCCATCCATATTACAACGTTTAAAGTCAATTTCTGGATAAAGTACACGTTTTTTTTTTTTTCCGCCAACGATATCATTATCTTGTCCCTTCTAATCTGGACTGGATATTATTCTTAATTATCCTTACAGCACAAGGTTGTCATTATTATTATTATCATTTTCTTATTTCTATTTATGTAATGTTGATTGCATCTTTGAAATCAAATTATTAAATATTGATTTGAATTAGTTAAAATAAAATTAAAAAGGCAACATGTTGATTTGAAGTATCTAATCCAAATCAAGTGGCTGCCGTCGTAATTGAGTGGGAATTTATGTTTTTTGTGGTGATTAATTGAGAATTGTATAAACGATATTTTTAGTTAAAAACTTAATTTTTTTTAAAATATCTGTTAAAAAATTGATAAAAAGGGACAAAGACAAAGAAAATGAACTCCTTTAATTTGTTTGCATTGTGGCTTTGGGTATTGGCATGAGCTATTTGTCAATGGAAATTTTAGGTGTTTGGTTAGTGGAGATGTAATTAGTCGGGGATTACGTACTACTACTAAATTTATTTAATATTAATTAATTAATTTCAATATTATTTATTTGAGTATAAATAAATTAAATGGACTTTAATTTTTATTTTTATTCCTCCACTCGTTAATCGTTATGTTGGATTATCAACGGCTTCCACAAAAAAAAATGGATCTTAAAAATTTTGTTTGCATACATCGATACACGTGAAAAATTAGAGAATAATTTCTCATTAAAAGTTTTATTAATGACAAATACCTAATAAAATTCATACACATAATACCTAATAAAATTAAGTTGAGCTTGCTAATAAGGTACAGCATATAAATCCAATTAGGTCTCCCACAAACGATATAAAATTCAAAATGTGTTATACTACTATTTATAAATCAATAATATGCTCAAATTGGTATACTGATCAATATCAATTAATATTAATATGTGATCAACAGTGCGCAATGCTGGAGAGGTGGAGGAGGAGGTAGAGCAGATAAAAAGTAGAAGGAAAGGAATATGAGACAAGGGATGTGTGTTTGGGGGTTGACTATTGTCTTTTCGCATTAGATATTGAGGGCAAAAAAGGCATATAAAACCCTACAAAAAATAGTTTACTAATTAATATCTATTCATAGGGGGAACTTATGAATTAGGATTACTAAAAAATGTGCAATTCAAACCAAACACGAATATCATGGTAATATAATTTAAATTACACTTGCAATGTTGCAATGGAATTGAATCAAATGGAATTATAAGGGCTTAGTTTGCATTACATTCTAACATCCTTGACCATCCAATTATTATTTTCTTTTTTACTTTTTTAGATTAATTTATTTTATTTTTTTATCACATAACTCATAAGGTTTTAATATGCCAAAACCTTTATAAGAATAGTCAATATCTTTATAAAAATAGTCAACATCATTTATTTATTATTTTAAAATTTAACGAGTATTTTATAGCTATTTTTCCCATATTATTTCTTTTATTTGCTTTGTTTCCCTTCTTTTTTGTGAACCCATTTCCCCTTTTTTTTCTTTAATTACAATGTTCAAGTTTTGCAGCAAACCATGAATTACAAAATCTTTCATTTTTTCAGTTCATAAAAACAATTTGAAATTTATTTTTTACTCTATATATCAAAACTCTTGACGTAATAACTACTAATTTTGTACCATTGATTTCCAACTAACTAATCAAAGCAGGCCCTATTTGGAAGCAATAGAAATCATAAATATTAATTAATCCACCCAATTTTTGTCATACAAGAACTTTGTGATCAAAGATTACGAGTGTCAATCAACAAACCCATCTAAGAAAGCCCCCAAACACACATGGTCAAGTTAAAATGATAATGAATAGTCCATTAACAGGTACAAATCATGACCAGGTCAAAGAGCAGATTATGAAATGTTGTTACATGCATGCAGGCTCAAGAAATCTGATCCAAATCATTCGATCAAGTTTCCCATTATTTTTGTTCTTTGCGTCAACATTTATTGGTGTTGATACTGAAGAGTTCAAGCCGACTTGAATCATTCAAAAAGGAGAACCCAGAAAAGACAGAAGCTTGCTTATAAATTGCCATTTTGTGTTGCTTCCCATATATTTATATAATCAAAATCAGTTCAGAGTTGTACATAGCAATGGTATATGAATATGATCCAGAGGCTCACATCTAAAATACCCCAAAACGCAATCAGCCATAGGGTGAAATCTGAGGTTAGAATCAAAGTGTTAGCATCACAGCACGCAGGCTTTAAACCCCTTTTCCAATTCCTCAGCATTCAAGTTCTTTCCAATGAATACGATTTTGTTAACCCTTGGTTCATCTGCCCCCCACAACCGATCTGGTGAACCTTGAAATATGTCATGTACTCCCTGCCACAAAACCAGAAAAAGATCTATTCAGCAAAATCATCATAACACATTAAGTCATGAACTAATATAAAGGGAGCAAAAGCCGTCTACTTGAGCTGTCTGATTATGCGCACGCATAAGTACGAGCACACACGTGAGGATAAAACGATAGAGGAGTATACATAGGAGCCATTTGGTGTGCAAACTAAAATGGATGAATAAGAAAAACAAAGGAAGGGAGGGAGAGAGGAGCGAGATTTTATGAAGAGTTAATATCATTTTTAGTCCCTGAAGTTTGATCTCTTTTTGGTTTTGAACTTGGAAATTTGAAACTAATGGTTTTGGTAGCTGAAATCTAATCTCATTTTGGTCCCTCTAAAGATTTTTGGTTCCTCGAACAATGTTTTTGGTCACAGAAAACCAAAATCACTTGTTTCAAATTTCAGACCAAAACCAAAATGAGATCAAATTTCAGGGACTAAAGATCTCATGTTCCTAAGCAACAGTAATAAAAAATTATGGTTAATATTGCGTAATGATGACAAGAGTTTGCAAAATGATATGTATTATCAGAAGAGTATCCTCCACAAGTAATAAAAATCAATCTCCTTCGAAAGTACAGAAGCACAAGGTAGACCCCTCGAAACATTATATATTTTGTTTTTGTGCAGTAAAAAGAATTTGTTTGCAATGGCGCAATCAAGCAAGCCCTTGAGTACTCTGATTGCATTCATCATATTCATAATACAACTAAACACTATATAAAGAAAGGCTTAAATCCTACTCTAGTTTAGGGGTTATTAATGAAAAGGGAAGGATAACGATGGATTTCCCACTAACTTGCCATGACTCTTAGTAGTCTTCCTTTTAATCAAATATCAAATATAAAATGCGAACGGCACCACTTACAAGCTATATACAGTGGAATTCATTCATCCATGCATACAAGGAAAATTTGGGAGATTTTTGGAATAGAAAGTTCTTCCTACCAAATAAAAATTAACATCCAACCATCCATTCATTAAGCCCAAAGGAAATTGGGGAACCACAACATACACATAATGGATCTTATAAAATAAAACCATGAAATTCAAACATGCCCAGTACATCACGTCAATAAAGGGCTAAATGAAAAAGTTTTGAACATTCAGTTACTTATACGATTTGATATCAGAAAATTGAAATAATGCACCTAAATGTCTTGCTCCGAGGAATGCCTAGTTTGCTATCATATGTTACGCATGCAGAAAGTTTAATGGAAGCACCATCTTTATCATCATTAACTGCTAATACACAAAAAATAGCATTCATTTATCTGCTAATAGGAAGTCACACTCTGAAAATCTCTTCATGATAAGGGAACAAAAAGTACCTGAAAGACAAATCTCTCGTCCATTCCTTGAACAGATAGAAGGCCCTTCATCCTATAAATGTCTTCACTTCGTTCCAACAACAATGTGCCAAGCCACATGTTAGCCTGAAAATGTAAAGTCATCATAATCATATTAATTGTCAACCATTCTATTTACAGACAAAAATCTAGAATACAAGGCATGCTACAAGCACGAGAGAGTGATGCTAATACCAACCTTCTCAAGGTCTAAACTTCCCTCACAAACAATGCTCACAGACGTAACACCAGGATCATGGCTGTGATCGTGAGAATGGTGCCCATTATGGTGTTCTGCACATACATAGAAATGGATTGCTCTTTTACTTCATAACATAACCACAAAGTGAAGAAAATATTTTATAAAATGCCTCAATAGAACTTGCCAAACATTGAATAGAGAAGTGACCGTAAATTATCAGCACTCCATACTCGTAAATATAGCAAATTATGATCTACATCGACAGAGTCAACTCAGCTATGAAGATTGGATACATTATACTCCTTAAGTAAGACTAATATTACACGTGGCACTCAGGAAACACAGCTAAACAAGAACAGCATGTCAGGTAACAAGTATTGGCTTAGGTTATAAATTAACAGATACCATGCTCATGGTCATGGTGATGGTGGTGATCATGGTCATGGCTATGATCGTGATCTTCCTTTGAGCCTTCAACATCAACAGCACTCTCAATCCTGGAAATTAAATTAAAGTAAAATAAAATAAAGGACTAGACTAGGGTAAGGTTTCTCATGTCTCTGCTTCTATGTTCTCCCAGAAAATAGGGCATGTGAATTGATTAAAAAGAACGACACGTGAAATTTCTTGGAAGACCTAATCATGTGATGTTGACATGTAAACCTACACATGCATCCATAAAGTCATAAACCTGTCTTGCTTTTATTTTGAAAAAACAATAGCAAAGATGTAAAAATTGCATCAAAATTTTTTACTCACGCATACACAAGCATCCAACTTAACCACGCTTAAACAGCTGGGTTAGAAAGGGGGGAGAAAAAAAGCAAAAATACACAAACATCCATTGCAGAGGGATGGATGCCTAATAGCACTGTCGGAATTCAGAACAAGAAGTATTGCCAAAAACCTCACAAGACATGCATCCATAAACAGCAAAGAAAAATACATGAGGATGCAACTATCAAGGCCAACTACAAAAAAATAGTTTTAGCGTGAAGTGACAAAAGTTGACATGATTAAAAAAGAAAAGAAAGTGTAAGTGCAAGCAGCAGTCTTGCCATACTCAAAAAATGAAAGCGGACGTGATAAATAAAATGAAAATGTAAATGCAGGCAGGGGTCTTGTGACAAAAGATAAATGAACACCTTGGTGAAAATCGCAAGTGAGCCAAAAATTCTCACCATTTTACAGATGATGCAAACCCAGTACACAAGAAGTTACCTCTCCAAATCAAAGCCCCCAATGCCAAGGACATAATCCAAGTCAACTTTCCCAAACTCTGTACGGTTTAAATGAGCCATGCTATTTATTTTCTGACACCATGGGCGAAATATCAACATTCACAATGTGTTTCAAAATAATGAAATCAAAGCAAACTCAAGATTCAAATGGTTAGATATAATCTGAAGAGAAAGACACCAACCCTTATCCGCTGGACCAAAGAAGCAATGTCTGATTCACCCACCAGATCAGTCTGATGCAATACATACAATTACAGGAATGTTAGCCTTTTATATCTCAGGCATAAACAAAATGTTGCTTTCCAAACAACAATAGCACATTCCAAAAGTACGTAGTTAACAACAAAAAACAACACACTGAACAAAAAAGCTTTCTTATAATTGATAAATCAACAGTAGTTAACATGTTAATTTGTCGAGATCCATAAGCAAAACAAGGAACAGACGTATAAATTAAAAATGAAGAATTTTAAACCAAAAATCAATAGTGGTTAGCACGCTAAAGTGGCACAATCCAATATAACATGTTAAGGAGTCTTGTATCTCACATTTCATGCCTGAGATATCAGTTTGAAAGTTAACTCTATAAATAGTAATTTAGACAACATGAAGATTTTTAAAAATAACTCTAGATTGCAACATAAGGATGGATTACGGGCGTTAAAAATAGAAAAAGAATTATCAAGTAGTTGGTGTGCTCAATTGACTAAAAGTTGATAGGTCACTCTTGGAAGATGTCAAATGTTTTGAGGTTTAACAGATTCATAAAACTCAATCCACTCCATGATAAACGATTATATAATACCTTATTTACAATTATACGATCAGCATAAGCAATCTGTTCCACTGCCTCGTTCACAACACCTTTAGGTTTAATCTCATCAAGATGAAAACTAGCATGCTTAGCATCAACCAAGGTGACAACACCATCCAACTTCACATCATTAAAAACCTGATCCTCTGCATAGAATGTTTGAATAATCGGTGCTGGATTTGCCAAACCTGCGGACATATAAACAAATCATTTTAAGAACAATTGTAATGAGGAGGTCCGACATAACCATATTTATAAGGGAATTGTTAATATGTGAAGAAACTCTACATAGCTTTACAAGCTTGTTAATTGGTAAGGCAATAATCAAATAAATAAGAAGTCCCAGTTCCAATAGCCCAAACAAATGCAACTCAGGCCCAGAAGCTTTTTTGTTTATACCTGTAGTTTCTATAACAATATGATCAAACTTCCCTTTCTTCTTACTGACTAATTCTGCGATCATTCTCACAAGATCACCCCTCACAGTGCAGCAAAGGCAGCCGTTGTTTAGCATTACAATATCCTCAGCCCCAGTAGTTTTTGCAGCTACTAACGAACCGTCTATGTCAATTTCACCAAACTACATGCAGAAACCACTACGTGAACAAAATTATATCCGTTCTCACAGTGCAAGCACATGCCGTCATGCATCATGCATTCACGTTATAAATGAAGAACAAGGAAAATTCCACCACACACCTCATTCTCAATAACTGCAATTCGCTTTCCATGCTCCGCAGTCAAAATATGGTTCAGTAATGTCGTCTGCCCATTTTCACATGAATTCATATCAATATCAGTTCAAATGCTGTAGTGCAAAAGCCTGAAGGCAAAACATTGTCATGGCTTCCACAAGAAAGCCATTATCAACAATTACCAAAAAAAAAAAAAATGTATTCTTTCTTTTTGATATTAAAAGCTACTTCATCATATACCAGTAAATAATTCCAAATATGTATTTTAGACTATTAAAGACCAGACAGTGAATCCATCCTATTCACAAAATCAGTAAAGGAAATATGTGTCATTCCTTTTCTTTTATATTTGGTTGGGTGAATTTCCCTATATATTTAAATCGCAAGAAAAACTCTTGGACACAAAACCAGTAAAATTAAAATAAATAAATAAGATCAAACTAAGAATTGAATAATCAGCTTCACCACCAAAAAGAAGAGCGGGAGAAAAAGATAAGGCATGATAACCCGGAAAAAAAAATATTTGAACGAAACTAGTAAACCTTTCCAGAACCCAAAAACCCAGTAATGATAGTAGCTGGGATGCGATTATCGGGGGGAATCAAGGTGGTAACATCGGAACTCTCACTCTGGGGCGTGGTCGTGGAGGTTGCAGCAACTGTGAACCTGCGAGCACATCTCCTGGGCTTGGCAACATTGAAGGAAGAGTGGGAGAGAACTTGAGTATGGGTTCTCTGGGAAGTGTAAAACAGAGGATAGAGGGTGGTTCCGATTCGGGCGAAGCGATTGCGATTTGGATTTGGGGTTCGAAAACTGACGCCAATGAAGGAAGCTGCAAGGTCAGCCGTGATGGAAGCCATGGATGATACGGGAAAATGGCAGGAAAATGAAGTTTTCGATTGTGGGTAAGGAGACGGTGAAGGTTTAAGATATTTTATGAGCGAAAAAATTGGGGCCTTTTCAGCAGTCCATACACTAGTTAAGTGGAGTATTGTGAAAGGAGAAATTGGAAATTTAGGGACCAGGCCTTGTTTTTTTATTTTGGACGACAATATAGGAGGAATATGTAAATTCCATATTCCATATTCAGAGACCTGGAATGTTTCCTGCAAGATTATGGGTATTCTTGATTATTTTTTTTTTATAAATTTTGTGTATTCTTGAGTTTTTTTAGTATTTTTTTATTTTAATTTTTTTAGTATAACTCAGTATTCTCAAGTGATTCCAACTTGTATTCTCCTTCTTACAACAATGAAACTGTTTATCATCTTAACTAATAGTTTGTTAGTTTTTTTTAATTTTAAAATCAGCTAGTTCATTGCACGGCTCATAATAAAAACGAAAGAAATAAGAACGTAATAAGAAAAAACAAATAAAAGTTATGACTAACAAACTAAATGAGAACATCATGATATTCTACACATATCCAACACTAAGAAGTTTGATATACTATATTCAAAAGATTATAAAAAATGTCCCTATAGACAACATTTGAAGGATTTTTGTATAGGATGCCCATTATCATCAAGAATTAAAATCTTCAAGCCTTTTCGGTGACGCACACATGATATTGCCATATAGTGTCTGTGGGTAAAATCTGTACGTGGTAGATACAATCCAATATTCATCATGCTCTAACCCTGGCTCTTATTTATAGTCATGGCAAAGCATAGCATAGCTGGATATTGCCTCCTACACAATGTAAATGGCAATAATGCATCAAATAGAGTTATGGTTAAACGTGAAATCAACACGTTTAATCCAATGTGTGCCAGTAATGATTTCTGCAACAATGACGTGTTTTTCCAAGCGAGTGACAATGAGATGAGTACTATTGCACACTCGAATTGACTTGTCTATGTTAAGCATCAACATTATAGATGCTCCAACTTTCAATTTAAGACAATGATTTGGTACTCTAGACAAAGCAATTGTGTTGAGGAATTCAACACTATGCAGTTCAACAATCGAACTAGCAACAATTATCTTGTTTTGATATACTCTCGCCACTTAGATATATAACCTCTTCTCCTAAAAATCTTGCAAGCATATAATCATTTGCTTCATTAACAAGTGCCGGAGCTGCTGTCAATATAGCACGGTCTCTGAAGTATGATTTATCATTTAGATGTGCTTGCATATTTAGGAAGGCATGTTCCATAATGCATTCTAGTGGATTATCTGAAAGGCATTAGTAGCAAATCTTCAGGTGTGGGAATAACATCCTCAGTGCCATCTTTTGGTTTAATATTGTCATCACCCACAGATATAATCCAATCTACAAATTCCTTCAGTGTACCATTAGTATCTACTTCATTGTTTCTCTTAGCCTCATGTTCTTAGAGAGTGTAAAGAGTTTGCAGTATTGCCATAGGTAGGAAGCATCAATAGTTGCAAACAATATATCCTTGCGGCTTCCTCTTGGAATAACAGGTAAAACTTGTCTAAAATCTCCACCTACTATTACAATTTTTCCGCCAAACGATTTTTTTTTGCAGCATCATGATCATTGTGACCAAGTATATCTTGTAGTGTCTTGTCCAATGCTCCAAAACAGTATTTATTTACCATAGGTGCTTTATCCCAAATTATAACGGTTGACTGAATAATTAAATCTGCCAAAGATATACCCTGCTTTATGTTAGAAACAGAGTCTTCTATAGTAAGTGGCACTGCAAATTGCAAATGTGCTATTTTACCATTAGGTAGAAAGAGTTATGCTATCCCACTTAATGCTACACTGAGTACAATCTTACCTTCAGATCTTAAATATGCGCATAAAGTTTGCTATAAAAATGTTTTGCTAGTTCTAGCGTAGCTATAATAAAATAAAATCCACCATTATCATTGATAATAGCTTCGATGATGTTATTATATATGACTGATTGTTTATTAGTCAACTTGGGTAGATTCTATAGTAATTGTTAATGGAGTTCTTTGTCAAAATTCATTTCAGCCAACACGAGCCTATTTCCTTTTGAATTATGGAAGGAATCAGTTGGAAATGGCATAGTTGTATAGTCACTAAGACTTCTAAACACTACTAGAAAAAAGACTTTTAACGTCGCAAACTAACGGCGGTTCAGCTGAAAAACGAAGTGGAAAAAAACGCGGTGGCATTTTTGTAAATAAGTTGAAGAGGGAATGACTTTCCACGGTGGTTTTCTTAAAAACCGCCGTGGAAAGTGTGTCTTCAAACCCCCGCAGCTGCTCGACTCTCTTCACTTTCTTTCTCATTTCTTCAGTGCGCCGTGGTCCCCCTCTGCCCCACCACCGTAAAACTGCCATTACCGGCCATTCCCGCCACTATCCCACTGTTTAAACTCCTCCATTGAGCTCTTGGAGCCTTGCCGCCGTGCGCCGCAGTCCGCCGTGGTCGACCGCCTCCCATTTCCGTCCGTTCTTGCTCAGCCGTGGTCCACCACCGAAAACCGGTCCTACCCCCCACTATCTAACCGAAAACCGGTGCGTTGCCGCCGCCTCACTTCGCATTTGAAGCTTCTCTGCTCTGGGAGTATCCTCTTCTTTCATTCTTTTCAATTTTTCTTGGTTTGTTGAATGTTTTAGCCATGAAAATCTGTTATATATGAAATGGGGTTGTTAGTTTTACATTGTGGTTGGCTTGTATTGTTCATTTTGCATTTTTTATGTGGTTGAACCGTTGATTGGTGTTAATTGGTAGGCATTAGATGTGAGAAAACCTTAATTCCTTTTTATATACTGTATTAGAAATATGTTTAAATGTTTGGAGTTGATTAGTTGTGAAGTTTTTAAATTTTTTATAATTTTTTGATATTTATTTCGAATTTTTGATAATTTTTTTGTAATAAATATAAGAATTTAGTGATAAATAATCTGTTAGTTATTTTGTGTTTTTTTCCTTCGTTATGAATTTTGATTGATAGTAAAGTATTGTTTAAATAATCTGTAGAACAATGGATCGTAGTTGGATGAAAGCTAAGAGAATTAGCAAGGAATATGAGGATGGGGTTGAAAAGTTTCTTGAGTTTGCTCAGAGAAATGCCCCTAGTAAAGGAGATGGATTGTACTATTGTCCTTGTGTCAAATGTTTAAACAATAGTCGACGGAGTATTTCTGAGATAAAAGAGCATCTTATCTGTGATGGGATAAATTTGAGGTATACAAATTGGATATGGCATGGAGAAATTAGAAAGACTACACTGTCTGCAAATGAGAAGGTTGTGAATGAAGACTTTGGTGATAGAATTTCGGATATGTTTCGTGATATAAGGTCTGAATCCTCTACACAGTTTTCTTCCACCTTTGAAACTTTGTGTAGTGATGCAGAGACACCTTTATACCCGGGGTGCAAAGATGATTACACAAGATTGACAACCGTATTGAAACTGATGAATTTGAAGGCAAGAAATGGTTGGACCGATGCTAGTTTTACGGAATTGCTTGAATTGCTGAGTGATATTCTTCCCAAAGGGAATTCACTTCCGAAACGAATGTATGAGGCAAAAAAGATTTTGTGTCCGATGGGTTTGGAATATGAGAAGATACATGCGTGTCCTAATGACTGCATATTATTCAGAAATGATTATGAAGAGTTGAATAAGTGCCCTAAATGTGGGACTTCAAGATACAAAATGAAGAAAGATGATGGTGATTATAATGAGATGACCAAAGGTTCTCCTTTAAAGGTTCTGTGGTATCTTCCAATAATACCACGATTTAAGCGTCTATTTGCTAATGCCACAGATGCAAAGAACTTGAGATGGCATTTTGATGAGAAAATATGTGATGGAAAGCTTCGTCACCCAGCAGATTCTCCTCAATGGAAAACAATAGATCAAAAATTTCCTCAATTTGGTGGCGAGCCAAGAAACCTTCGGCTAGGGCTTTGTACGGATGGAATTAACCCATATGGTAATCTTAGTAGCACACACAGTGCTTGGCCAGTGCTCCTCGTAATTTACAACTTGCCTCCTTGGTTATGTATGAAAAGAAAGTATATCATGCTATCTTTGATGATCTCGGGGCCAAAACAACCGGGAAACGATATTGATGTGTATTTGGCACCTTTGATTGAGGATCTGAAGAAATTATGGGAGGAAGGTGTTGATGTGTTTGATGCATATAAACAAGAGACCTTCAATTTACGTGCCATGATCTTCACCACGATAAATGACTTTCCAGCATATGGAAATTTGTCTGGATACAGTGTTAAGGGGCATAAAGCATGCCCGATATGTGAAGAAGGCACCCACTATATGCAACTTAAACATGGCAGGAAGACAGTATACCTTGGTCACAGAAGGTTTCTTAGTCGGTATCACCCTTACCGTAGATTGAAAAAGGCATTTAATGGCTCACAAGAATATGAAATGGCTCCAAGACCATTAACTGGAGAAGAAGTTTATCAGCGGGTGGAGGGAATTAATGTGGTCTTCGGTAAGAAGAAGAAGAAGAAGACTGCCAGTGAGAGAAATATATGGAAAAAAAGATCTGTCTTTTTTGATCTTCCATATTGGCAAAGTCTTGATGTGAGGCATAGTCTAGATGTGATGCATGTGGAGAAGAATGTATGTGAGAGTCTTGTTGGTACACTTTTGCATATAAGTGGAAAGACTAAAGATGGAATCAATACAAGACGAGACTTAGTCGAAATTGGAATAAGAAATGTCCTTCACCCACAAGAAAGAGATGGTAAGAGGGCTTATTTACATCCAGCTGCGCACACATTATCAAAAGAAGAGAAAAGAAGTTTCTGTGGTTTTGTCAATAGTATTAAGGTGCCACAAGGTTATTCTTCTAATTTAAGCAAACTTGTTTCAATGCAAGATTTGAAGATAACGGGAATGAAGTCTCATGATTGTCATGTGTTGATGCAACAATTACTTCCACTTGCTATTCGAGGCATTATGAAAACCGATGTGAGAAATACTATTACAAGACTTTGTATGTTTTTTAGTGCCATTTGCAG